CTCAGACCACAGTGACTCTGTGATGAGACTCTGAGTCAGAGCTGAGTGTCATCAGAACCTCTGCTGCGGCTCACGCTCTTCTTCCTGTTTACTCTGCATTCACCACAGCTTTGAGTTACTGCTGTCACTGGTACCGCGGGCCCTGCTGCTCCTGCAGCCACAACAGGAAGAGTTCACATTCACGTGCACTCTTGTTTGTGGGCTGGACTCATTTTTCACACCACAAACCAGTTTTGCGTTGGAGTACTTTCACACACAACAATAAACAAGAACTCCCTGAGGTTTCATCACTGCACCAAAGAGAAGTATCACATGTGATTGGACGAGAGCACAGTACCTCTCTCTTGGACGTAGTAAGCGAGGTAAAGGTCCAGCTCTTTGACGGAGACGGAGATGTGTCGAGGCTGCACACACAGCAGGGGGTTACAGCACTGACCTCCCTTCACAAGCCGCTCTCCATCTGTGCTTTCCAAAGGGATTCCTTTAAACAGGATCACCATGACCAGGTCCAGCCTCCACACCTGCAGAAAAGAACTGGTCACTGGTACGATTCCCTACAGGTCTCCAATACTGCCAAAGCAGTCACTGAGAATAGCAGAGAGTCGTCTGCATATATAGAGAGAGTATCTGATCACAATTTTATGAATCAGACACCATTAAGTAATATTCAACTTAAATAATGAGAATGATAATGAGTATTAAATCATTTTTTTAATTTTTGAATGATTTTATTTTTAAATCCAATTTTATGCATTTTGCAATCTAAAAAATAATAGGATTTTAGTCAATGTCTGCAATAATCTAATTTCTAATATTCTGGGAAATATGTGTATATTTTGAATTATGCAATATTTAATTGTTTTATTTTATTTTATTGATCTCATTTCAAAATTATTAGACTCCTGTAATTATGAAAAAACATTTTAGACACATTTATATTGTTCTCGTTTTGTATCGGAACTAGAAGAACTGTTAGAACTGTTAGAACTGTTAGAACCGTTCCACTCCCATCAGACATTTACCTTGTCAGCTTGTCGGAGACAATCTATGCGTCTCATTTTGCCTTTCTGGTCAGGGTTGGACAGGACACAACACGCCCCCTTCTTCCCAGTGACAGACAGCACAAAGTCTTCTCTGCACTCAGGTTTGATGTCCTTCCTCAACTTGGCCAAGAGACGACTGGCCCACTTCTGTTTGACCTAACCACAGAAGGACACAGAGCTGCATCAGTTCTACCTGCATGAGTGCAGATGTGAGGATCTAATCTGTCAGAGTCAGCTGTTCACCCCACCTCCGCCTTCTCCCCCAGCAGTTCATCTTTCACCGCTCTCTCTTCTTCTTTGGTCATCCTTTTCTCATGTTTTTTGAAGTACTTCCTTTTCCTGGCCTGAAGGTTGAACCATGTGTAGGCAAAGGCACGGACCTGGGGCAGCAGAGCCTCAATGAACGGATGGAACTCATCCTGCAGGACAGAGACACACAGACAGTAAAAATAATTTACAGTTAATTTAGGTCATTTAGGTGCTGGATTATGGAAAAACCTAGATTATTGTGGTCAATATTAAAATCTTGAATATTTAAGGTAATGTATCTGAAAACACGTCACATTGATTTCACATGATAAAAACCAAATGTGAAATTTTCCTTTATGACTTTGTGTTGAGTCAAAATCCGGACCATAATTAAACTTCCATTAATTCTTCCACAGCCTCTTCCAAGAGTCCTAAAAAAATGATGAATGAGGTTATAGAGCCAATGATGTTGACAGAGTACAGTAATCTGATTGGTGGAGAGGGTTCTGTTAACGATATGAGCCAGAATGTTCTGAATCAGTGACGGATTTTGTGAAATAGAGAGAGAGAGAAAGAGAGAGAGAGACTATGATAATGAAAACCAGTGAGTGAAACAGGACGGTGGTACTTTGTGGTGTCAGTGACAGGCTGAGCTGATGTGATGTTGACTGTCGGTCTGTAGGACCAGGTGACTGATGTGGGATTAGGATTACAGGGTTCTGTCTGAATTGTTTATTTCTCAGATTCAATTCCAGCTTGTCCCTGTGAAGTGACCTAAGATGGAGAACCTCCAGATAATCCACAGTGAGCGAGTGGGCAGGTCCTCTGCCTTGAACAGCCAATCACAGGACAGACACAGACCTACTGTAGACAGACCCACTGATCTGAAAGCAGATCTTTGGATTAGGCCCAGCAGACCTGAGGACATTCCACACACAGGTGTGGAATCCACAGTACTTCCTCCTGGAGAATATTCATCTACTGTACACCTTCTTTAACTCAAGCTGAGATGTGACATGTGACATTAAACACAGCGCCCTCTGTTGTATTTCATATGGACTGCAGTGGAACTGAGAGCTCACAGAAACAGAACTAATGTGCTGCTGTTGCTGCTGCTTCTGCTGCCTCTGCATTTAATCCCAATTTACAATCTACTAAAGGCCGGCCGACACTTGTGGTGATTTCATACACATGTATTTATGTATTACTTCACACACACACACACACAGAGAGAGACAAACTAACCAACGGACCAACGGCAGATGCTTCTCTGATTATCAGGAGCAGTTCAAGGTCCACTGTTGGCCCACAGCCTTTATGACCTGTGGACATGAGCAGCTGGTTATCAGAGCCGCTGATTAAAGAAGAACCTGTCAGTTGGGGATCAGAGCTGACGCTCAGCTCAGGTGGATTTACTGTCAGTGGATGGAGAGGAAAACAAGAATGAGGAAAAGTACAGAAAGTTAAACGTAGTCAAAAAGATTAATGAGGTAAATGAGCGCAGGAAAACAGCAGGGCACCACTGCCACTACAGCCTGCTCTGACAACAGCCTGTCAGTTCTTACATACTGTCTTTGTCAGTGATGTCAGTATGGAGCTCAGACCTCGGCAGGTTTTTTTCAAAAACGTTTATGTAAAGCATAGTAGGACCAGATGCATTTTACACCACTACCACCATTACTTGTGTAGCATAGTTTATCTGAAGCAATAAAAGGCAAAGCAAGAAGAAGACCACTACCAAGCAAGAGAAGAACTCTCCGTCCACACGCTGCTCTGTATTTAATGTCCATGTTTGTGAAACTCTAAAAGTGACAAAAAAATTAAACATGGTGGTTCCTAACCCCCGGTCTGCAGACCAGTACAGGTCCGTTGGTCATTTGGTACAATAAAAAAATATACTGAATTTTTACTAATTTCCTTCCGAGTCCAGAATAAGTGTGAAAATGTAATGATCCCTCAACAATCAGTCCGCAGTAATGACCAGTACCAGTCGATCGGACTTTGGTACAATAAGGGTTGGGGACTTCTGCTCTAGATATACTTCTATATGATACGTGGACAGTGAGGTGTGAAATGAACGATATTCATAGATATTCACATAGGCAAAGGAGGGATAAATGAGGGTATATGGAGCAGGAAGTGATGTCAGCCAATCAGAAGATAAAGTCGTTTCAGTTACAGACACTGACGGACAGGTTTATTACTCGTTAGTCGAGACTAATTTGCTCAGTGACACTCACTGGGATCAGTATCTCTGCTGCAAATTATATAGACACAGGATCTCCCCAAGACGGATCAATCACACACACACACACACACACACACACACACACACACACACACAGACAAAGAGATGGTCGGTCAGTGTCTGGGATTTGACAGCCAAATATAATGAACTGTAACTTTTTATAAAAATACATGTACTGCAGTAAACAGGCTGAAATACAAACAGGACAGTACTCTTTGAAACATGGAATTGTGGGCCGTGATCAGAACATGAGGCATGGCATCTGAAAGATATTGGAGTAAATTTATTAAAACAATCTTTGTTATTTACACTTTAATAAAAACTGTCACATGTGGGCACATCAAAGAGCTGTTTCATCTTCACTTTCATCTGTTTCTCTTTTCTTTCATGTTGCGCTACATTCTTCTTCTCTTCTTCTCTTTCACACCAGGGTGTGGGCCCTGACCAGTGGAATAAGTGTTGTGATGATAATACTCTCTTATTGGTTTAAGCCAAAAGTACTGTTGGTGAATTGGTTTATATAAGAAAACTCTTCTGAAACTCATTTTTGAAGCAGGTGGAATCAAATGAATTAAAAAGTTAAATTTAGTCACTGCTGCTTTGAGAGCAACGTTTTTCTTGCAACATCAAATATATATAATTTAAGTTAAATTTAGTCACTGCTGCTTGAGAGCAACGTTTTTCTTGCAACATCAGCTGCCAATCAAATGAACTTAGTCAGTCATTTTTGTTTGTCAAAAAAAAAACTTGAACCATTCCGTGAGGTACTGCCCCCTAGTCGCTCATGTGGAAAGTGTTTGAAAACCTTGGATTCACAGCTGCCAATCAAATGAACTTAGTCAGTAATTTTTGGAAAGTGTTTGAAAACCTTGGATTCATCCGACCATAACTGTGAAACATCAAGGATGTTTCATGTGACCGTTATAAAAATATTACTACTCACCTATTCATTCTAAATTACTACAAGCGTACACGTGTGAGTAAACAGCATTTATCTTCTGCCTCCTGCTGGCCAGCCTCAGTAGGAAACTTCACAGACTCTGCTGTTACGTCTGATTCATGTCAGCTCTAACTGACTCTAATTTCTTCTGACTGAGCAATAGCTGTTAGGGAAACTCCCAAAAGTTGGCCAGTTGACCAATGATGTCACCGTTGACAACACTGATTGGTTCAACACGCTGCTGTCCTGTTGTGAGTTTTTCCATCTCGTCTCTGTGCCTTTGGTTAGCAGAGCGGCGCTGGATGATGTTGGTGCTGGTGTTGTTTTAAAGGAATGATAGAGAAAATCTGATGGAACTCTACAGTAATGACGGTCCAGAGTGAGCTCTTTGGTTCCTCCCACGTCTGCTTCTACTTTTAACGGACAACATTAACAAGTTGTACAGGCTCATTAACAGCTGTGATGTCATCACCAACAAAGTCCCAACTGGGCCTCAGCAGAGAGACTTAGTTTGTCATCTGTAGGTCATCAGTGCCTCTGGACCTGCAGATGAAGGTTGTTTTTGTGGTCACAGTCCATGACAGAGAGGAATCTGACCGACATCTCTTTTCTAATGCCTTTGTAGTTTCTGTACTTAAGTTTTAACTTACTTTAGTTTCAACAGCTGAATTCCATAAGACAAGACAGCCATTTAGGAGAGGGGGAAATGGGGATGGAGGTGTCACATTCTGACTGATTATTAGCTATAACTAGAAACCAATCATATGCCAGAGTAAAGTTTTAAAAAAAATATATATTTTTTAATTTTTATTCCTATTCATGAAACTGTAACGGCAATGACCACGAGGACTGTGTGTACGCTGATTAAATACTAAAGCAGTGTGACAACACTGTGTGGACAGCATGTGATGTTTCAGATAAAACACAACAGAGTTAGCATCGCTACATCCACATGGTACATCTGAGCGGGTGGTGTGGTGACGGTGTGGTTGTATCAAAGATGGCTGCTGCTCATGTGAATGAGAAGTGCTTGGCTGGCACACATGACGCCAGTCAGACTTCCTTTAAACATCTGATGCACCAAGTTAACAACTGTGTTTATGACATTTATTATTAATGACACTAAATGTCAGCCTCTCTCTACATTATATATCCTTAACATACAGACGCTGGGGCCCAGTATTTACATTGAATCTGCACAGTTTAAAATTTGCCACAAAATTCAGGTGATCCATGACTAAAACTATATTTTAACAAAACTCACTCAACATTGGTAAAAAAAATAATCCTACTTATCAATGAGGGCTGGATCCTTCAGTTGCCAGTTTAACTTCTGTTCATAGTCATACAAATTCATGGAGGAGTTAACATCGGCCTCTTATGGTTTCAAAATCTAACCTCTATACTTCCCAGCAGGGGGTGCTACTAGTGCAGTAGATACCCTCTGGTCTGTGAATTATATGTTGCAAAATAACAAATTCTAATTTTCTTTCTTTTAATGCATGAGCTCCACTGGTGTGTGGCGCTGCACACCTCAAAAAACAAAACATTTATGAAAGTTCCACTTTATTCTGAATCATAAACCGCACCAAACTGGAAACTCTGAAACTCACTGTTGTACCACAAATATGTTTTTAAATTGCACACAAGGTCACAAAAATATTTTTGCTAGGACCTAAAATAGACAGTTTGCTATTCGGCACAGCTAAGCTAATACAGCCGAGGGAGTAAAGGAGTGCAAGAGGCACAAGAAGGAAGAGTGAATGAGGAAGACTGAATAAAATATTCATGCACATATAAGAAAATAAACCGCACAGGGGAAAAAAAATCCTAATTGAGGCTTAAATGATACTGCAGTACATTTGTACAGCTGTGTCCTCAACCTGAGACAAGTACTGAGTGGGTCTTTGGGAAAACAAAAGACAGCATCTAACCTGTTAGCGTAGCCTGGTATTAGCATGTCAGTGATGTTGCCACAAAGACAAACCCTGCAGGGTATGAATCCAAACATATGTATCATTGAGAGCATGGTAGGGAGTACTGTACCGAGTACTGTGGGTATTTTACCTCTGACATTTAGCCGGTGAACACGATTTTGCAGCGCTACTGCTGCTGCTAGTCAGATTTCTTGTTAATGCTGCATTTAATGACTGTTTGTTCAATCCTGTTCAGACCTGACTTTCTCTGTGATTTCTTTTCTGTCTGGGTAGACCTGCAGTGAGCACTAATGGCTGTGTAATTAGCTAAAATAATTGTAATTTAGTATGATTATAATATACTGTCAGGGCGGAGTTAAAACCTGACATTCATACACACCTTACGACACACCGTCTGAAAAGATACAAGCTAAAAGTCAGCTAAATTAAGAAGATCCACCATTAGTCAGTAGGAAAGGGTAAGCTAAACTTAGCTGAAAAAATCCCACAATGTTTAAACCACTAGATCAACAGATTAGGCACAGAAATGGTAGCATTGGCAACCAAGCAGTTGCTAACAACATAGCTAAAGAATATCCAAAATCAGGATGTAAAAGTCTGGGTTTAGTCAGACTAAGACAGTAATGTGTTTGACTCCGATGTCATGGTAACACATGACATCACATGTGGAGGCATCAGCAGTTCCAAATATTTCCTGTCGCTGCTCCTACACATTAAAGGATTCCATTATGGATGAGTCATCACATACATGTTTTTATTTGTGAAATGATAATGATGATGATGAGGAGGAGGCAGAGGAGGAGAACAGGAAAAGACAAAATAGTTCAAACACATTCACTCAGCAGTAGCTGCAGCAGCAGCAGCAGGTGACCCCAGGGTCAGCACAGGTATCCCAGTCTAAACCAAACACTCGGGTGCTTCTTTAAAGCTGGCATGCTTGAATCTGTCCTTCATTAAAATGTCTTTCTGGTAATTATACTGCCAGGAGGGAGTTTGGTTTTATCCCACATCAGCAAAAGGCAGCAGCATAATGTGTTTGATCTCACCGCAGACTACAGCAGAAAGTCAGCGCAGTGTGGGCTGAGGAAAGTGAGCCGTAAATGGGCGACCAGCAGAGAAATGACTCTGCAGCAGGCTGGCTGAGGAAGTCAAAGGCAGTAGAACCACGACAAGCATTGTAAATTCAGTTCCCTAATGAACGTCACCACCAACGGCTCTGAGTGAAATTCTTTGGGTTAATTGTAAAAACAAAGAAGAAAATTCTGACCTGTGTCTTTTCATTGATTTAATTCGGGCCATGTTAATAACATTAATGACAGCTGACCCGAGCCCTTGAGTCTTTGTCCCCACTCCAAAGAAACTGTCAATATTAAAGAGACACCAGGGTGAAATTGAGCAGTGAGACAAAGAGGACGACGGAGAAAATACAAAACACGAGTCGATTTTACACTTGCTGCTCGTCTGCTACAACAGTGATGATGGAAAAGGATTAAATTAACTTGAATAGAACGAATGTTAAAAAAGGGATTTGAATTAAAAAAAGATTCAAAACCAGTTTATTGTGTAACCTGTGTTGACTTCCTCAGCAGAACTGTGAGTCATTACCAAAACACTACCACAGCACGTAGCTACATGATACCTCCGGGTGCTCTGGCGCCACCCACTAATAATTTTGTTGACCTTCTTAAGAAATTTATTTTAGGTGTGGTTCTCACCAGAATCTCTTCCTTATTGTTAATTACCAGACACTGTCAAAGACTTGATGAGTAGGTGTCGTAAAGACAGTGGTTCTCAAAACTATCATGCAGCGCCCCCCTTTTCGGTACTGGGCTACTGTTAAGCTTCCAACAGCTAATGCTACAAATCACCACATTATTTTTTGCAGAAATAATAATAATTACAGAAAAGAGTCAAATATATATTCGTATATATAGTCGTATATATAGTTGCCAGGGTGCACAGTAGCCCCGATTCTAACCTATTTGGATTGCAATAATAACATTTCAAATGATGGAACTAATTCCATGCATGTCTCATAAATAGAGGGTTATGGGTTTGATTCCAGACCTGGTGAGGCAGGTGTGATTATACCGTCTCCTGATGGTCACACTGCCAGTAGAACGATGTAAAAAAAAAAAACAACTGTAGCGTGAAGCTCTCTGTGTGGTCACTTCCAAGAATTATTTTCAGTTTCTCCACAAATATGAGTTGCAAGCAACTGTAGCAGTTTCTCCACAAATATGAGTTGCAAGTTTGGCCACAGTCCCTGAGGCTGTGAAGCCCCTCCCTCTCTCATCTCATCTCTGTGGGCCTGAGACCAACACCAGAAGATAAGAGACTGAGACAGGAAGATGCCTTGACCTTTGACCTGCTAGGCTATGGCCATCACCACATCTACTGTACAACAGTTCAGGGTCTGTATGCAGGGACACAAATATCCGCAAATACTTTCCAGACCCTCTCCTGCCAGCTGCCTAGTCAGATTTCTGGAAAAAGTTTTCTGCCTGATGGGAGTTGAACCAACCACCAGAACCACTCCTGAATGCTCCACACGTTCTCCTCCCTGCTGCTGTAAACACATCTAAACCTCATGGTCTCTGGCTGCACTCTTCACATCAGGCATGTAATTGATCCAGACACATCACATGGGTTCACTCAGGTCCCAGCAGGTCATGGGTTTGACCGGGGAACCAGAAAACAAAAGTTATGGTTCGAGTGTTCCACATACTGTAGAACCACAGACAGACTGATATGGTTCTGACTCAGCTCAAATATTAGAAGTACACCACGGCAATAAAGTACTGCAGTATGAGGAGGACACATTTTGAAATAGCGGTAGGAGTCGGAAGAAAATGTGGAAGAAATGAGGGGACTGGAACTGTACCAGCTCCAGCTATGTTCAGGTCCAGGGTTTCATGTCATTTTAATACAGTCATATCTGGAGGAGAGCCGAGCTGGAACACAGACACTGACCACTCACAGACATGTCAGTGGTCAGCAATAAAAAAATAATTAGATTTTTTTTATTTATGGAAGAACAACAGCAGCGGCAGAGGACGGAGCAGAACTGAAAACTGATCCTCTCACTGTTTTCTTCCTCACCTCTCTCTCCCCTCTCCCTCACACTGAACCACTCTCTGCTGCTGCCTCACTGCTACCCCACAGGTGTCCAAAGACTGACCCGGGGGTTGGTCACAGTACCAGGGAAGAATGTTGGGTAATGAAATAAGAATAAAATGAACCAACACCGTGAATATTTGACTGTTAATAGTTAATAAAAATCCATGCAGCGACGGTGAAATGAAATATCCCTATATTTCAGTGTATCAATATTTTCATCCAGACCTATAAATAACAGACGCAACAGAAGCTAACATCAATTATATTCTGGGTTAACTGTGAAGTTCAACACTAATATACTGTATATTTATATTACAATGATGTATTTAGCAGACGATTTTATCCAAAGTGTTTTACAAGTGGGGGAGGTGTCAATAGGTGGTACTTCTGGGAATTGAACCCAGGACTCTATGATTGCAAGGCAGGCATGCTAACTGCTACAGCAGTGATTCCCAACCACAACAGGTTATCACTTTCATCTGTTACTTTTCATGGGCCGGACCCCATCCCACCAGTAGTCCAACACAGTCCAGGTTAGACCCTGGACAGGTCTCCGGTCCATCAAACAACCATTCACTCTCACATTTACTCCAACACCCCCTCCCCCCGCCTCCTCCATCATAATGTTGATGTTAATGTTCTGATTGGCTGAAGAAAATAACGTTACAAATCTGTGAAAGCCCCCCCCCCCCCCCCCCCCAAAAAAAACCCCTGCCCCTCACTGTGGGACCCATTTAAAAATTAGCCTGCATGTTTTTGGACTGTGGCAAAAACTGCAGTAAAGTCACCCATACAGTACACATGGAGTACTATCAGCTGGCACTGGAAACTGAACCA